CAAATAATTTGCTACTCTTATGTCTTTCCCACAATGCCGACTTCGTGAACTCTTCTTTCTTGGTTCAAATTGTTCTATTCTCTAGAGTAGAACAGTTTGTGGACATCTTGACTTCAAGCCGCTTGAAGTAAGGATGTCCATAAACCGTGCCGTACTTAAATAGAAGTTACATGACCTCCGTCTTAATCAGATATTCGAATCATCTGATCGATATTACATCAACATATTATGTGCTGACTACCACTCACGATTTCTACAACACCTAAAGGTTCACTGGAAGAGAATGTCCTGGGCATTAAATATGCTGATGTGCAAAAGTGCATAAAGTTATATAAATAATATATATAATACTGTAAACAAAATACCTTAAGATCAATACAGAATCTTAGTTAAACTTAATTATAATAAAAAAATTATGCAGCATTTTAAAATAATTATATTATTGCACTGTTATTGTTATAAATTACTAAATTGCACGCAATACTCCTTGGACAGCTACATCTGAAACAATACCACAGTTTTTAATACCCTGAAGTGGTCAATGTCTACGGTAGGGCAATAGTTCCGTCGTTAGGAATTAAAAGAGACAGAATTTGCACCAAACATAGTTACGGGAAGAAGAAGCGGTCGAAGAATCGTACGCTGTACCCACAGACGTTCTGACAGAATGTAAGATTTATCTTTTTGGTAATAATCAATTGAGATTTCGACAGTAAAAAAAAACACACTAAAATCTTAAAAATAACAGCCTATTAACTACACTTTAGTAAAAAAATATAATTCCTAGAACCCATTTACAGCGATCGATTTGCAGCGAACAGTGATCAAAATTCGCTTTAGTAGTTTAAGAAGAGTACATTGACATTGAATAGCAAAAGTAAAAAAAAAATAACCTCATAATCACAACACGATCGTCTGATCCCAAACTAGGCACAGCCTGTACTATGGTGACCAGACTACTGATAAACATTCCTACATTATGTACATATTATATATAAATTACACCGAAGAAACACACACAGAACAAATGACTGCACGGATGGCGTAGTGGTTTCACTTCATAAACTCCGCTTCATGGGCCACCAATTTGTGTTATCCACAAGTTGTTCATCTGGACTGGGTGTTCTTTGTGTCCGTCTTATGTATGTTTGTAAAGTCCCCCACGACACAGGAATATATATTCCTAATGAGGGAGTTGTCATTAAAAAAAAGTGCCACTAGTACAGCCAGTGGAACAACAGGTCAGAATATATAATACAAATAATAACAATACCTTCTTTCTTTAAATGATTTCAGTCATCTCTTCTGCGTCCTCGAGCTGAGTATGCTTGAGGAGTCTGCCGATAGCGTATATACTGCACGGCAGCGGCGACAGCCGCCACTACCACCACCGCCCCAAACATTAAACCCTTAAAAAGTGACATGGCTTACTGAAAAAAAAAAAACAAAAATTAAAAACTAGTGGAACTGATATCCGAATAGAAAAGAGGTACGTATTTATGTTCATATCTGTAGGGGGCAATCGAGCATATGGTTTATGATAGAGATTTAAGCATAGAGAGAACAAAGTATCCTTGGTATTTCCCTTTGTCTCTGTTTAGCTAAGCTACGATCGGCTACCGTAAAGTGGGCATGGTTTTGATCGTAGAACAGGCGGGAGATAAGAAATTTCCTCAGCCAACCACAGAGCTCGACTAGTAAGAGATAGAGGGGACTATCTATTATCCATCTGCAAGATTGGGACTCTTGTTCTCTCGTTCTTGTTCACTCAATTGTTCTCTCGTTCTTGTTCACTCAATGCTTCTATCTCTATGGTTGACCCGATGATAAGGAACTACCATTCGCTCATGGGCATTTGTAACTCGAGTCAGAAATGGGTTGGCGGGCTTAAGTGCCCTTCACTCTCTTGGTAAAATGCAACAAAAGAGTTGCTTAACACCGGTTTTCTGTGAGACCAAGGGGCTACGGTGGTGCCGGCCCATATACCCTGAAGCGTAGCTCTTCCACGGTAACATTACTATGTATGTTTAAATATTTTGTATGTATCTATATTACCTATATAGTATCTGTAGTGAGTTACTAATATCAATTATCAGTTATGATTATAGTCGAGCTTCCAATCTTTGTGATAAAGCAATTTAATTTAAAAAAAAAGCGGCCAAATGCGAGACGGACTCGCCCAGGAAGGGTTCCGTAGCAGCAAGTAACATAATATAAAAGTTCTTGAACCTGCCCCCCGCGCGCTCCGCACCCGCTACCGATCAAGACACGCCCCGCGCGATTTATAATTAATATTTTCTTAGGCACCTATTACAGATTTATTATTAGAAAATATTGGTTCACGGTTAATGCATAAGGTTTGTTTATGAAATTAAATGTTTTTTTTTTATATTTGAGTTGATTGAATGAAAGGTAAATTGTGGTTTACGATTTATGACGTACTAGCTGACCTGCGCAACTTCGTCTGCGTCTCTCAATAGTAATAAATTTTCTCCGTTTTTGAAACATTCTTCATTGGTGCTCCGCTCCTATTGGTCTTAGCGTGATGATATATAGCCTATAGCCTTCCTCGATAAATGGGCTATCTAACACTGAAAGAATTTTTCAAATCGGACCAGTAGTTCCTAAGATTAGCGCGTTCAAACAAACAAACAAACAAACAAACTCTTCAGCTTTATAATATTAGTATAGATTAAAAAAAACTACTTACTAGATCTCGTTCAAACCAATTTTCGGTGGAAGTTTGCATGGTAATGTACATCATATTTTTTTTTAGTTTTATCATTCTCTTGTTTAATAAGTTACAGGGAGGGGAGGGGGGGGGGGGACATATCACCACTGGAAGTGCCTCTCGCGCAAACTATTCAGGTCCTCAATCAATCCTCAACCTCAATATCATTTTTGAAGACCTATCCATAGATACCCCACACGTATGGGTTTGAAATTTTTTGAATTTCAGTTCAGAATGGGGAACCCCCAAAATGTATTGTTTTTTTTTCTATTTTTGTGTGAAAATCTTAATGCGGTTCACAGAATACATCTTCTTACCAAGTTTCAACAGTATAGTTCTTATTGTTTCGGAAAAAAGTGTCTGACAGACATGACGAATCTATAAGGGTTCCGTTTTTTGCCATTTGGCTCCGGAACCCTAAAAAGCAACACTCGCGGTGCAAATCGAAATCGGCAACTACTGATTACAATTGTAATACCACTTACGTAGTACGGGGCAGGCCTATTGCCTTTAAACGTACCTACACTTTAGGAATTGGATGGCATATGGGCAGTTCAATATGAAAGAAATTGAAAAAGACGGGATCCATGTTTTCCGATTAAGACATCTTTAATTCATATTTCTATTGATATTCGTATTTATTTGTATAATCTTTGTGGTGACTGATTAAGAATACGGAGTGTCACCACACCATATTTATCCCGTGGGTGTCGTAGTGTCCTAAGAGCCGACTAAGGCAGCAAACTCTGCAGGACAACAGTACTGCACAAACGGAAACTTGAAACAAACTATACCAACCGGTGTGGCCAGCGCGGTATGGTAGGCCAAAACCTCCTTCCTAAAGAGAGGCCTATATCCAGCAGTGGCCTATTAAAGGCTGTTGATGATGATGAGCCATAGTTCGGCACAAACGGGCCGGCTCGACCGGAGTGATACCACGGCCTTACAGAAAACCGGAGTTAAGCATTCTTTCGTTTCTTTTCACCGAGTGAGTGAGGTTACCGGAGCTTAATCCCAAATTCCCCCTGCTCAATCCCCCCTGATTTTAGGGGGAAACAAATAATTGACAAGGCACTTTGCGTCTCTCAGTTGCATGTGTCAATGATCGCCGGTAGTCACTTACAAGCAGGTATTTCCGTCTGCCACCCTATGCCATAAAAAAATTCCTTGCAGTACCTACCCAGCACGTTGCCATGGGTACCTAGGTACTGTGGACGCAAATTCTAGTTTACTACATTTTAGTAGGAATGTTTACAAACTCTAGTTATTGGAAACATATGTAAGTACGGCTAACAAAACAATACACAAATACTCACCCTACACAAAGCAAATGCTTTGATATTCTAACACACACTACTTCAATAACACACTTATACGTAGTTCTTTCTATTTTTAAACACTAGGTCCTTTTTTACTTCGTAATTTGGGGCAATATTAACTTGCAAGCCACAAATATTTCGTATGAGTAATATACCAACTCGATAAGTAGATAAAAATACCTTGGAAGTAATGTTAGTACTTACATCACGAGCAAAAATGTACTTAACACAAACTTTTTCTTGAAATGTTAAATTTCAAGCAATGACACTACCGACATGCGGTCGACCTCGTTACCAAGGAGCTAATAATCAAGTATCCTATACGAGTTACACGACTGCACCTACCTATTATGCTTTGTTCGGACTTTCGCGTAATTCCCCTGCGCAAAGATAATAAATGCGTAAAATGGTGATGACGACATGTAATTCAGACACTTCTTCAACACATCAATAATTATATATTGGGCTACATATAAGTATAATAGAGAAACAATGAAGATAAGTAAACCTCCTCACCTTTTCCTTTAATATACAATTTCTTAATTTTATTAATATTTTGTTACTAATCAATGTTAGCATAAAACGGAACACATCTCACAAATGTTTTGATACGATCAGTTTTACTACACTTTTTTTAGAGGAAGTATATTCGATTAAATTTTAATGCAGATTAAAACAAATAATTACTTTACTTGTATAATATATCTAATGTGATACAAATTATAATATGAATCTGAAGGTTTTAAATCACTGTTTAATAAGTAAATCATTTAATAAATATAAAAAGATTTCATAAATAGCAAAGCAAAATGCTTGTCAGTTTAGTGACAATGTACTCTGTGGTCGTTCGTTAGCTAGCAATAGCAAAACGGAACGCTATATGTCAGATCAGAATAGCAAAATATTTTTCAGAGACACAGTACCTACGCAGTAAAATATATATATTTAAAATGAGTGTAGCAAGGGAAGAGGATCGGCAGAAGAATGGTTGCCCTAGCCGCGGTCTGGGTGTCGCTGCGGCGGCCATTGGCGTCGGTGTTGGAGCAGCTTTGTACTACTTTTTCAACAAACGGGCAGAACAGCCGAATACAGAAGGATCGACGAGCGATTGGAACTGCCAGCGACCGCAGCCCTTGTGAGTATAAAATTATGGGTCAAAATCGCTTGCATCGCTTACGCTTGGCATTATTTCCTAATATTATGACGGTAGGTGATTTCAAGGATTTCAAAAATATAATTTTATAAGTAGGTCATTTATTACTTTGTAAAATTATTTGTGATTAGTTACATTTTTTAATAAAAAATTCCAAAAAAAGCAACATTTATTTGTCGGTAGATAGAAAAGAATGACAAAGACTCTTTGTGTCTATCACTGTCTACACTAAAATAATAAATTTAAAAAGTGTTTGTCTAAACACTAATCTCTGGCACTATTAGTACGATTTTAAGTATCCTTTTTGAAATGGATACATAATTAATTGAAGCAAGTTGCAACTACATGCAACATCATGCAATAACCTCTAGTTGTGATACAATAAAGACAAACAAATGAAACTGCAGATGTTGTTAGAAGATCGCTCCTAGAAACCTGAAAATGCTCCCATTCTGTGCTAATGGAAGGAGCTTGTCAACCTTAAAGCCTATATGTAAACAGGACCGTTTTTGAGTCTTAATGCAATAACTGAAGCACCCTAATAAAACAAAAACTTACCATAGAGTAAAATATGAAAAATTGCAGAATTTAGTACGTAAAGTATTAAATAAATCAATTATTTCAGTAATATTTTTAGTTCAAGTTACGGAAACAGCTTTCTTTATAAAAGACAAGCTGGTACCCGTGACTTCCTTCACGTGGAATTTGAAAGCTGGGCAAAATTTTAAAGGGTTTTTCTGAGAGGAAAATTAGGCTAAGTTATTCCTTATGTAGACAGACCCTATTTGGTAGTAAAATATTTTCGAATTCGAAATTTTATTTATTTGTATAAATAGGAATTACTATTTTTACCGTTGTTGTGACACCGAGAGATCATATAGTTATATTCTATAGTTTAATATGGTTATAAATTTGTGTAAATAGCTCTAAGGTATTATGTACTTATTTTAATGTCTCGTTCAACATTTTTACTTTTGTAAAAGTCACCAGTTCTACTTCCTGTAAGTACATCTGGTCCCTTTCACAAAACTCAACCTTGAGTAAATGATTTAAAGTTCACATTCACTTTGTGCTCTTTGTTTCTTGTGTCTATGTTTTTCACTTGCATGTTATTGTGTTTATTTTTGTTTATGTTTTTTAAAGGGGTGTTTGACTGTTTATATAATATTGGAAGATTATTTTTAAATTATTTATAAACTTTCCTAATTTGACTTGAAAAAATTGTTGTAATTACTGTAATTATTTTAAAGAAAATAAGTAAGAAGAACATTAAACTTAGTTCTACAGACTTATGGAGAAATATTTCCAAGGCTTTTAGGGTTCCGCAGTCCTAACAATGAATCCTTATAATTTCACCAGCTTTTCGCTTAATTTAGAAGTTCTTATATTGGAAATTTTGGAATTATGCATATATAAATTAATAACGCTGGCAAAGTGATCAAATTCCATGATTAAAAATTTTTTTTTGGGAACGAGTACAGCGGTACATGCAAAGTGGGGATGATTTTTTTACTATCCCATAATGTATGATTAGTAAAAAATAATGTGTTTAAGGCTATTTTTTTACGATTAACAAAAAAAAAATTGTATCACTACAATTTTTTTTTTGTTATTTTTTGTTAAAAAAAAACGTGCCCAGTTGAAGAAACAGATTTACGTAAAGTAATATGATGCCTAAGTTATCTCAATTAGTTTAAAATTAATTCTCGCCCAACTTATAAAATGTACCTGAGTACTTTAATTTTTTTTTATATTAAATATAACAGTATTTGACACGGGTAGTAGTAACCTATGGAACCCTCAACTGCACGCGCTCAAACTCGTACTTGACCAGTTTTTTTTATTATTGCTCATATATACAGCCCGGTTCTTTTCAACATGTTGTAAGTTTTAATAAAATACTAAAATTGATTCCATAATTCCAAATTTTTTAAGTCAAATCAGCGTTTAAAATGAGAAGGACCCATATCCTGACAGTTACATTTTTTTCCCTTGTTGACATAAGTACATTCCTACAGCTTATAGTAAAAGTTGTATTTAAAAAAAATCATGAATGAATTGTAATATTACTGTATACGTCAATGATAACAACGAAATAACTAGTTATTTATAACTGTTATTATTCAAATTTGCTTATTTGTAATCGCTGCAATTCAACTAACTAACAACGATATAAATTTAGGTATGTTTTTTGTATACAATACAATCGAATCGACGATCGCTGACAACAACGAAATAACTAGTTTTTTTATAACCGTTATATCTAGAAAGTAATTAATTAACTTAAAAAATAGACAAGTAGATGCAACTTATCATGATTGATTGGTTGGTTATTAGAATAAAAACACTGGTATTACTGTTATTGGTGTTGCAAGCGTTCTTATGTTTTATCAACGGCCTATAATTAGTGCTCAGCATAGTGCTATGAATTGTAGCGACGTCTTTGTTATTAAAGCAATGTGGTAGCGTTCTCTATCTTTATCTAACGATTTATCTATTGAACGATCGCGTGTTCTCAATAATAAGATAGGGGAAAGTAGTCACTACCTTTTAAGTTGTAGATTTACGGGAATGACTGGTCACTGACTCAATCTCAGCCTGTCAACCTGTGACCACGCCAGGCCACTGCATCTGGTAAAAACGTCTGACACTTAAAAGGTTTGTGTCTATTAAGCGATCGCGTTAATTTCCGTACATAATTTGTATATAATTGATATTAAAACGCTCTCTTAAACACATCGAAAGCAATTTTTTATCATTTAGTTCTTACAAAGCTTTATCAATTCAAGATCTTTTCCTCTTAAGTCTAAAATGGCGGTAACAGATAACCTCCGTATTCCACGGTTATTTACTAGACAAGGGGAGTCCCCTTGTCTAGTAAATAACCGTTATTAACCGGTTATCTTGCTAACTATTAGCTCTGCTGAAGTGACTTTAACTCCATCCTTAGAATCTATTGTGGTAAACCACTAAAAGAAACTGTCTTAATATAATCATATATGTGTATTTGTCAGGCTATAGGTTTCATAAACCAGGAAAACAGTCAAACCCCCCGTTTTTTTATCACCTAAACCTTTTTTTTTCATCGCACCAGTTACCTAACCCACTCTTCCGATGACTCATACACAACTATATCAGAACACGACACCACGGACACCAGCGTGATGAATGATGAAACCCAATTGATCGATGATTCATTTGAAGATCCAACGGGCTTAGAGATGAGCGTATCCGAATCAGATGATATAGAATCGGAAGATGATTTTTTATCATCAAATTCAGATATTTCAGTCGATTCTGACTCTGATTATGATGAATTTGAAGTCACCACATCATCGTTTGGCATCCCTGAAGACGTTGAAAGATCAAGATCACCGATGTCGTTGCTGAATAACATCAGTTTGTCGTGGGTTTCCAGGGTCAGCCCTAGATGGCACAGGTAATATTCGCGTATAACAATTATAGTTAAAAACGACATAACTATCGTTATTTAAGACCGTTATTATTCCAAATTCGTTATACGTAACTATTATAATTGAAATTTCGATAAATATTACTTGTATATAAATAAAATTTCGTTATACACAATCATTCTATACACAGTGGCTATGTTTGAAGCCAATAAGAACTTCAAACCATTCAGAAAAGAGCGTACATCCATCACAAAAGATTCTCAAGAAATGCCCAGGACTCTTACAGATTTCCGTGGATGGCGGAAGTCGCTTATTGCTTCTTTGCCTCTTATAATATTTAAAAAAAAACCGGTGACCTTGACTCTTTGACTTAACGTTTTTATTTAATGATAAAAAGTAAGTTTATTAGGTAACATAATACACAAAACACAATGGTGCTGGTCTTGTTCGAAACCTCTATAAACTAAACTAAAAATCACAAAAAATTTGTTTAGTCCTGTCAAACAACGGTCATCATCATCATCATCATCAACAGCCTTTACTAGTCCACTGCTGGACATAGGCCTCTCCTTAGAAAGGAGGTTTTGGGCCTAATATACCACGCTGGCCAGGCGGGTTGGTTTAGGGTTTGTTTCAAGTTTTCCTTCTCTTTGCAGTGCTGTTGTCCTGCTTAGTTTTCTCCCTTAGTCGGCTCTTACGACACCCACGGGATGAATTGGGGTGGTGACAATTTGTATTCTAAATCCGTCACCACACGGACTTGTAACAACGGTACCTATTCTGAAAACGTAATATTTGACAGGACAAATTTTTTTTAGCGATTTTTAGTGTAGTTTAGAGAGGTTTCGACCAACAGCATTAGCACCAATATGTAGATTATGTTATAAGTTGAAGATTGTGTCGTATAGTTTGCGTTGCATTAAACGGCTATATCGGAATATGGTTTGTTTACCACGAGATAACTATAAGTAGATGTACAAATAAACACAGCACACATAAAACCACAGCTTAGAAAAGAGCACAGATGTGGTTTTATTGTTCTATCCATCTCCTTTAATTCAATAGGCCATTTTATACATTAAGTTATGGATGCTCGCATCATCATAGCATCAAGATCTTAACCTATAGTAAATAGAACGACATATAAATGGTGCTGCATTGACAATGAAACGTCCTTCCTAAAATATATATATATTCTTTAAAGAGCCCAAATCTTGCAATATAGGCAACGAGAGAGAGATGGATAATAGATAGCTCCCTCTAGGGGCAACGAAAATATAGTTTAACACTGGTTGTATGTGAGACCGTGTCTTGAGGATAATTATTAAAATTATAATACATCAAAATAATATTTAAAATAATATTTTGACTCATCTCACACACGGCCGTCTGATGCCAAACTAGGCCGAGCCCGTGCTATGGTAACCATACTGCTGATAAACATACTTATATATTTCTAAATACATACATATTATATATAAATTATAATGACACACAGAACAAATCTCACGAATCTTGCTCATCACACAATCATTTGTCCTATGTGGGAATCGAACTCACTACTGACCACTAGACCAAGAGGTCACTAACCAAACTTAACTTTTCACGAACCTTTCACTTGCAATCATTTGTTTTGTTTTATTTTAAGTTGGTGACACATTTAATTTTCACTCTAGCTGGTACCTGCGGCATTTGGAAAGCGTTATCTCAGTGGGTTCAATCCCCGGACCGGGCAAACATTAAAGGGTTTTCTGAGAGGAAAAATAACCTAAGTTACTCCTTATATAGACAGCTGCCCTTTAGTAAAATATTATCAAAATCAGTCCAGCCGTTTAGAAGTTTATCCGGAACAAAAGAAGGACAGACAAAAAATATTTGAACTGGTTTTAGGCATAGGTATCGTGCAAATAACCGTGTGAGCATGTAAAAAAGCTATTATTTTGACATTACAAACAGACACTTCAATTTCGTTTATTTGTACAGATTATCATTTCTGATTATTATTTATTATTTACATTTTTTAAATATTACAGGACTCATTTGACAGAAGAAGAACAAATGGCCATGATAAGAGAAGAACAGTTGTAAGATTGGGCGTTATATTCATTTAATCGGTTGATTTACGTGTAGTTTTAGAGATTTAGTGTGGTTTGTGTTCATTATCCGTGAATTTGATTAGCTCGTTAGTCTGAATGATCCTGACTGCTGAGCTACAGGTCGTGGATTCGATTCCCACCTTACACAAGTAATTGTGGAATGCCAATTAAACTCCGTGTGGTGACGGCTTAAGAATACAGAGTGTCACCGACTAAGGGAGCAAACTACGCAGGACAACAGCACTGCAAAGAGAAGGAAAACTTGAAACAAACTCTATACCAACCCCTCTGGCCAGCGTGGTATAGTTGGCCAAAACAACTCCTAAGGAGAGGCCTATGTCCAGCAGTGGGCTAGTAGGCTGTAGATGTGTGGGTGTAATTTATCGGTGTATATTCCTATCACAAAACTAGAGAGCCAGTGCAGAGCTACAATTATTAGTCCTGGGTTGGAATCGAATCCACACCACTCGCTCAGCAGTTAGGGTCTTTAACCACTGCACGAACAAGCTCGTCCAAATTGGATTATTTCTGCATAACACGGTTTAACTTATGCTTGTACAAGGACAACTGATATTTTCTCCTTGGACTGTATTTTTCACATTTTTATAAGTGTTTTGAGTTCATTGAATTATTTTGATTCATTAAATTTAGTACCTTAACCTTTTTATATTTAGGTGTATTTTGGTTAGTATGCATGCCTTCCTATTTTGTTTTTATGTCAAACAAACTCAAAATATCTTTGTTTAATGTATATTTTTTAAATTATATGTAGATGTAGTATAATGCTTAATGCTTGCTTTTTGCTTGCCTAAATTATATATTACTAATTTTATTCTAATTAACACTAATGTATTTTTAAGTTTCCATTTATTTTCATGTTATATGTTAAAAGATCTGAAAATATTAAACATGACAAAAGCTGTAAACCTACCTCAAGATGGTAGATCTACAATAAGGGTTCTAGGTCTGGTACTTAAGTTTAAACGTGGGTTCAGTTAACCAATAAAACTACACAAAACAGATAATCTGGTAAATTGGACCGGGGTCCAGTAGCAAGCGGGGTAGTTATAATAAATATATCACAATTAAACCTATGTACTTGTACTTTCAGCCGCGAGCGTTCGTGGACTCTAGAAGACTGTTCTATTTGTTTCGACGTGATGTTACGCAACCAGGACGTGACCCGGCTACCCTGCGCTCACAACTTCCACACCGAGTGCATCTTACCTTGGTTACAGGAGAAACAGACGTGCCCCATGTGCAGGAAAAATGCTGAATGATCTTACGTGTAAGTAAACAATGTATATTAAACGAGGTGTACCGTGCCACGCTTTACTGTGGCGATTGTGGAATATTGTAGTTGCGTTGATGAGAAATGAAGAAAAACACAGTGGAATTCCGGGAGTGCCGACATAAGTGAAAATTGAAAAAGTTTTAATTATAACAGGATTTTGTTTTTTTAGTGTTCCGTACCCAAAGGGTACAACGGGACCCTATTACTAAGACTCCGCTGTCCGTTCGTTTGTCTGTCCGTCTGTCACCAGGCTTTATCTCATGAACCGTAATAGTTAGACAGTTGAAATTTTCACAGATGATGTATTTCTATTGCCGTTATAACAACAAATACTAAAAACAGAACAAAATAAATATTTAAGGGGAGCTCGCATACAGCAAACGTGAACTTTTTGCTCGACATTGTTTTTTTTTGTCCCGAAGAATGTGTTATTTTAATGTTAGAGGGGGCAGACCAGCAGATGGGACGAGACCACCTGATGGAAAGGACCATCGCCTCCCATAAACGTCTGCAACTCAGGAGTCACAAACACCTTGCGGGCCTTTTAGGAAGGAGTACGCTCTTTCCTTGAAGGTCGTATCGCTCCGGAAATACCGCAGACGATAACCCGTTCCACAGATTGTATTTTTAATTTATTATTTATTATATTTAATTATGTAAAAGATTCGTTCGAGATCCGCCGAAACGCTGTATATCGGCGGATATAAGGCACATCACTAATTCATATTTTTTTCTTATTTACAGAATTTTGCGGAATCTGAATTGAGCTAAGAGAGTACGCCAAACGGCATGCACAACCATTTTCCCATTCGGGCCCAACATCAGATTAGTATCTTGACATTAAATTTAGTTAATATTGTTTATATATGTGTTCAACTATTTATGTTTATTTATATACTTAGCCAATATTATACTTTTGCACTTTTTTTGTACTTAGTAATTAATTTTATTTGTCAATACTCATATGTCAGAGCGTATAAAAAGACCGATGTTTAGAGGTATCGGTATAAAAAAAATGTTTTATTTTTAATCTGTTTGGTTTAGATATACTTTTAATTTTTTAAAAATGAATGCCTTTTTAAACACAGTGTTGTTAGTTAAAACAATAATTCATATTCGTGTTGCTGATGTAAAAAAATGATTGTTATGTACTTTCGAAGTTTGTCTTTAAAAATTTAGTTGTTAGTTTTTAGACTTAGCGTAATACATTTTGTTACTAAGAGACTCAAACAGCAATAATATGAACTAAACTAAGAGAGATGTTTAAATTTGTTTTAAAAAACGGGCTTAACCCATTAGAGAAGGAAGTTTGGTTTAGAAATCATATGTAGAGTAAACAAATATCTACTTATTGTACGTGTATTTAAATATTAATTTTACTTGCCACTGGATGCGCTGGCGCTCGGAGAGAAAAGTAGTTCACCTTAATAATATAAGGGCCAAAAGACCTGGTTTCAAAATGAATATACACTTCTCTTTTAAATCGTGCTGAAATCTTAATTAGAATTTAAATCCAATGTTTTATTTTTCAATAAATTTCTGAATATCTTTTTCCTTTGTAATATTGACATTAAACTAGTGGTGCCACAAAGGTACAATTAAAAAATTAAATTGTAAGTTTTGACATATAACCTTAAACTTTTGGACAAACATTAATTGTTATAAAGCAGAGCAATACATTAAAATAAATAAATTAAAATAAAACAACAAACTAGCACAAAATATTAAGTGAGAAAACAACCAAAGATTAAAAATATAACCTGGTCTTTGTTTTATTGTAGGTTTTAGTAAGCCCTTCAAAAATTGTAAGTTACCGATGTATGTTCCTACATATTTTTTTCTATTTATGTATGCGTTTTGTAATTTCACATTGGATACATATCATCTTTAATAATAAGAAAAAAATTACAATACTTAAGTAAAGAGAAAATAATCAAGTCAAATTCTTTTAAAAAAAACCAGTGAAAACGTAAAAAATCCCTTATCACTAATTATGTGCATTATAAAAGTTTTTTTTTTAATTTACATAAGAAATAATACGATTTTTCATAAAAATTCAGTGGGTTGGTTTGTTTTTTTTTTTCATTCGCATAACACAAATACCTTAAAATGCCAAGCAGATTAAATGAGCTATCAGTTTTAATAAAACGAAGATGTTACAATAAAAATATACAATTTCATCATTGTTGACATAATAAATTGTTTTATCGAGTTTAAATTTGAACTATCTCGAAATAAAAATGAACTAAAAATTACTATTTATTTAAATTAATCAATTGGTGAACTTTTATTGTCATTAGTCACGTAAACGTAAATGCTTTGTGAGCTAACCTTATATTATTTAAAATGGGACTGGGTCCTAACGTATGTTAATAAAAAGAAATGAAATTTTTGGTAAATATTTTTTATTATAATTTGTTTGACAAGCGTACGCAAGGTGTTGCCGTATAAAGGGTAGATTAATTAATTGGTAGAATTGCCGCAAATCCTACTATACTATCTACGTTTTGTATTAATAAATGTGATCCTAATTAAGCAACTATATGAGGCTTGTTTCTGTGAAAACTTTGATCAAACTTAAAAGATTGATTTATATCTGAAGGTTCATCATCATTTTTTTTTAATGTTATGATCGGTTTTCATGTTGAAGACTTCGCTGTTTTATATTTAACGATTTATTTTGTTTTCCTTGTACACAACTTACGATAGAATAAGAAATATTTTATAATACTCCTCTAAATGATCCATAAAAATGTGTAATTTATTTACTTAAGTGGTTTGTTGAAATTTAGCTGTTCTTTCTGACATTATTTCCCTTGCCCTTCTCACCAAATAAAAAATGAATATAAATAAGCGATGCCAATAAACAATCTTTTTTTTTTCTTTAACAGTATTTTCCTAACGAATCTCAAATCTTTCTCTTTAATCTTTTCTTATTTTACCTATGTCATAGATTAATATTCCTTTTTACTAACTCACAATTATCACAATTTTTCTATTTGATATTAAAAATAAAATTATGTAATAATCATTACCTCGACAACGGTAATTTCTTTAACATATTTTTTGTAATTTTTGATTCTTGCTCTCACTGTAACTAGTTTTTTTTGCGATTATAAGTCTCCAATGTTCATGTTTAAATGTTGTTGAATTATTTAATTCGTGTAAACTAAGTTAGTCAGTTGATCGGTGAAAATTACGATCAAACAATTTCTCGTTGATATCTAGTCGTCAATTCTTCAGATATAAACCAATCTGTGTTTCACAATAAATTCGCAGTTTGATATCTTTTGTATATTTCATGCACTGGGTTGTAATATAGAAATGATAGAACACATAAGTTGACAAATTGTGAATGCTGGCAACACAATTCTTGAAATTATTTAATGCGCCACATTGACTTGATGTCGAGCTGGCTACGGCCAGTGGTAAACGGGTAGTAAAAATTTATACTTTGTAACCCTATCAATTTTTTTTTTAAACGAATAAAGTTGTGTTGGCAGCATCAATATGTAATATTGTCCTTGTTGTCTTTAGTTATTACATTTTCATAATAAAGATACTTACAGTTAACTATTTCTTTTTAATGAAACTATTAATTTGTGATTATGTATGTGTATTAAAATGTTTTTTGATGTGAAACATCCCATGCGGAGGAACAAACGGGCTACTGGCGTGGCGACGTGTCGCCAAGCCATGCGTCGCCAAACTATGTGATAGTGTATGTAACATGTAATGATTTTTTAAAATCTGAATGTTATATTTAATTGTGCTATATAATTTATTTATAAGCTATCCTTTTATACTCATTACATACTGCACTGATGGCTTAGTGGGTCAAGCGGTCGCCACGCCGCTCACTACTACGCTGAGTGCTTTGGGTCCGATCCCCACATGGGACGACACGACATTTTTAGGCATTAAAACGGTAGGATCAAATGTTTTACATGAAATACCAAGGCATGGCGTCACACCTTATTATCAAATCATTCACTCTTAAAGATGAAAAATGGGAAGTAACATTTTCATTTTAAGATATTTGGCTCGATTATAAAATTATTTCTAGAAAACGCATCTCTTAAATTGAACTGTCTGCATAAAAACTTCCATTGCTTGATAGAGAAAAAAAAATGTAAGTTATTCAGATTATCTATGGTATATTAACGGCTCAAGTCTCTATTCTCTCTATTGTCATCATCATCAACAGCCTATAATAGTCCACTGCTGGACATAGGAAGGAGTCCTTAGAAAGGAGGTCTTGGCCTACTATGCCACGCTGGCCAGACGAGTTGGTATAGGGTTTGTGTCAAGTTTTCCTTCTCTGTGCAGTGCTGGTGTCCGTGTAGTTTACTCCCTTAGTCATCATGGACTCTTGGATAAGTTGGTTGAATAAAATAATTATTGTAAACTTTAAAAACGATTTATTTTAATTAACGAACTTAGGTACTAAATAAAATTAATCGAACACTTCATTTTAACTTTAAACAAATAAGTCTTCTGTTAATAAAATAAAACTAGGTACTTTTAGAGAATTGTAAACACTGAAATATTCGTCTTAAACATTGACATAAAAGATCTAAGGTACACGTATAATACCATGTTGCCTTTACAGTATATACACTATTAGTTGACCTTGACCTCGACCTCTCCCAGTTCAAGGTCATCGGACAAGGTGACCTTGACATGTCAAAACAAGCTTCCCATACCGTGTTGCATCCTTACATGGTGCGTCCAAGCGTCCAGATTTTGGAAATCCTGTAACATATCAGTCTTTATGGGCTTTAGAAACGTAGAAAGGAGTGATGCTGTTTTATCGTGTGTATCTGTTTTTGTGTGGCATTTTAGCTCCGAAACGGATGACCCAATTTTGATTTACTTTTTTTTATATGAGTGTTTTATTTATGGTATAAGGGGGTAAACGAGCAGATGGGTCACCTGATGGTAAGCAACTACCGCCGCCTATGGACACTTGCAACTCAAAAGTCACAAGTGCGTTGCTGACTTTGGAGTCCCTCACGCTCGAATCAGCGGGAGGAGGGATTTGAGCTCCGGTAACCTCACTCACTCAGTAAAAGGCAAAGAAAGAATTGCTTAACACCGGTTTTCTGTAAGGCCGTGGTATCACTCCGATCGAGCCGGCCGAATTCGTGCCGAAGCATGGCTCTCCCACGGCAAAAAGCACGGTAAAAAGTGTGATCGAGTATTCTTAGATATAATCAAGAAAAATCCCATCTGTCCACTAAATGATGGATTTTTGTGTGTTTTCATGTCCACTTTAATACACTCTAGAGATTTTTACGAGGAATGGATCTTTTAGAATATACTAGTTCAAAAACTTCATTATAAGTTAGTGGTATACGAGGAACGCTTTTCTTTCACTTTGTAATTTTATTGACAGTACAGAAAAAATAAAGCGATTAGAAAAAAAACAAAATGGTCTCAATTTATTTTTCATCAACATCATCAACAGCCTTGAATAATCCACTGCTGGATGTAGGCCTCTCCTTAGAAAGGAGGTTTTGGCCTACTATACCAAGCTGGCCAGACGGGTTGGTATAGGGTTTGTGTCAAGTTTTCCTTCTCTTTGCCGCTGTTGTCCTGCGTACTTTGTTCCCTTAGTCGGTTTTTACGACACCCATGGGATGAAAAGGGGTGGTGACACTCCGTATTCTTAATCCGTCACCACACGGTTAAATTTAAATTATATATTTACGGATAAAATGAAATTTATTTTTATAACCTATAAATTTATTTTTTCTAAGAAAAGCGTAACAGATATTTCTCTATTAACTAACTGCATTTGGACATTCACAATAAAAACCTTAGTCGTTTTTTTTAAATTACGAGGTTTTTTTTCTGTAATTATTCAATTAATATTAATAAGTACATACTTCTTTGACGTATTTCTGTATATCGCATGCTTAACTAGTAAAAAGGGAGTTTAAAGAATTTTTTTGAAACTTGCATGTCCTAAAAAATATATTTCTCGTAAAAAAAATTTGAGGGTAGTAAAGTGCACACGAAAGTGTACAAAAATCCATCATGGAACTTTCCAATTTTTTTTTATAGAGTAGGGGGCAAACGAGCAGACGGGTCACCTGGATGGAAAGCGACTACCGCCGCCCATGAAAGTCTGCAACACAGGAGTCACAAACGCGTTGCCGACTTTGAAGGAGGTGTGCAGGAACACCGCAGGCGAAATTTATAATTAACAACATGGTGGTGGTGTAATGTCGATACTCACGTCATCGCAATATTGGCACGGGAACAGTTCCAAGCCGTGAATGGCCACGTGGTCGCGGAATTTTTCCGCATCGCCGAAGGATATTCCGCACGCGTCACACATCCAAGCCGACTCCTCCGCGGCATCACCTACATAAACGGGGCGCCATTTATTTATAACTCATTAAAACTATCTACAACACGATGGATTATAATAAAGTGCTCTAGCAATAAGTAAATACTTTTATTTCTTTTAGTTTTTTTTTTGTTTTAAATAGACAACTCCCGCACTAGGAATAAATCCTGTGTCGCGGGGGACTTTACAAACATACATGAAACGGACACAAAGAACACCCAAATATACTCGTAGAACAACAATTTGTGGATCACACAAAGTGTCGTCCCATGTGGGGTTTGAACCCACAACACTCGGCGTAATAGGAAGCGGCGTGGCGACCGCTAAAACCACTACGCCATCCGTGCAGTCCAATTAACCCCAGGAACAATCTTTGTCGCTCTTCTTCTCTCCTCCTTCGAACTCCCTCCCACACTTCGAGTCGTTATGACAACTCTTTTAGTGTTGCCGCTGTTCGGCTATGGAATGCCTTATCGCGTGCAATACGCAATAGCCCTTCTCTTAGCGTGTTCAGGAAGAGAACCAGCGATTATTATCTGTCCCTTCAATAATCAGACCCTTGGTATGTATGTATGTGTGTATATACATATATATATATATATATATACGGTGATTTTTTAGGCGTTTTGGAAAAGAAACATTTGAATTTGGAATCATCTATAGTACCAATAAAAATGATTAAATCAATTGTAATGTTGTCTAAAAAAAAGTTTCAGTTTTAATATTAATTTTTACACGATCAACTTGGAAAGTAGCAATGGACTGATCATTCATTCAATATCTTATATGAATGAAACACGTCCGTGGGCGTTTCGGCGGCCGCTGCGCACCGCCGACGCTAACAGCAGCTGATAAAAGTATACGCGCGATATAAAGTATAGGCGCGAGCTAGCGAGTACTTACGTAGATAGACTCCAATTTGTCCTTCATACTTTACACGGGCTTAGGACCGTCAGAAATACCTATTTTATTTAAACTTCTTTTCGATTATTAACCACGATTGTTCTTTTCACAACAAATCAATTTATCAACGGATTGTAGGTATAAATATTTCATTCGTATTTAAAAAATCGGAGCTATCTACAGAATAATTAACTTACATACCTATTTACACTATTTACACTTCTCTGTATCGAAGCAACTGCTCAAAATGGAGTCCGCTGCGTTCAATACACAAACGTCCACGTTTAATGCAATTGTTTTTTAATTTTCTTAATATGTCTCTATCACTTTTCACTTTATCAAAAGCGTCCACTATCGCAATGCGTAAATTATCACGGCTTTTATATTCCCGTGTATAAACAAGTATTTTTATTTGCGACCATAAGAAAAAATCCAGGGGCGTTAAGTCCGGGCTTCTGCGTGGTCAAGGCACTGGCCCTCCTCGACCTATCCACCGATCACTAAACTCATTGTCCAGGTATGCACGTACTACACTCCGGCGAATAATAATTTAAGCGTCCTTGACCTTGCGCGTGAGTATAGTATTTCTATTCGTAGTATTTACCTACTTGCGATTGAAAAGCCCTACTACTGGTTCTCACCTTTTCTCTGTAATCGATATGAATATCGACTTTGATGATAAAAAATATATATATTTTATTAAATTAACGTTATATATAGCTTCTGTTACTGATAAATAACTCAAAATTTTCTTTTCCAAAACGCTTTCAAAATCACCGTGTATATATATATGTATTTAAACGTGTTCTGTTGATTCCTAAGTACGCATGACTGTGCCCTTACGTTTCTCTGTTGTCCTCTATTCGCTCAAGGTTTGCTGGAAGAAAACTCAGCTTTGGGTTAAGCTCGCCTTTGTACATGACATATCCTTATTACTTATATATATGTATGTGTTCAGTGTGTACAATAAAGTATAAATAAATAAATAAATAAAAAAATATTTCCATTAAACCAAAAAAAAAACAGTTACAGTAAACTAAAAACTTGACTCATTATCCAAGATAAATTAATCTTGCACCTTTCTGTTTCATTTTCTCTTTGGATTTGTAGCGGGAAGATCGAACGACCCTTAGTTGTCACCGCACGATGCGCAGGCGCCGGTCTCGGGTCGCTAACGCTTACGTAAACGCTCTCACCTTTACGTACGTGTGTTAATTAGTCTACGCCCTAAACATCCTACAGATTTCTAAGGATTGTATCTCCACTCACCTTCTTCTTTCGGTTCCATTTCAGACTTCAGCGAGTCGTCAATGGCTATAGAAGACGTCTGGGCTTCAGACCTAAACTTTTTTGGTTCTCTGGGCTCAAAGTAAGGACACGCTGTAATAATTGTTTCAATAATTATAATAAGTAGGTTTGCAGTTACATAAATCTATACATCATCATCATCATCATCATCAACAACTTTTAATAGTCCACTGCTGGACATAGGCCTCTCCTTAGAAAGAAGGTTTTGGCCTACTACACCACGCTGGCCAGACGGGTTGGTATAGGGTTTGTTTCAAGTTTTTCTGCAGTGTTGTTGTCTCTTAAGACACCCACGGGATGAATAGGGGTAGTGGCACTCTGTATTCTTAAGCCGTCACCACACGGAGTTACGAAATTAACATCTATACAAAAAATAAAATTGAAGTATCTGGTTGTAATGTCAAAATACGTTTTAAGCTATTGCATAGCTTCTATCGCGGGCCTTGAGCGTGGAGACCGAATCCAGAAATTCCGTAACGAAAATAACCTAACACCTCCCACTCCGACCGGCACAGCGGTGATACTTTTTAGTTTTCATTCTTAGTTTTCACCTATCGATGAATAGCAGAACTTTTTTTAAGATAGGGTGTTCCTTTAACATGACCAAGGGGTAATGTTGGGCCCCTTGGTCATGTTAAAGGAACACCCAGGACCAGTTTATTTTTATTGATGTCATAATAACATCCTCATACAATACCCCCTCCCCACCAAAAAATAATCGCATTGAGGTCCCTTCAAAATATTCCCCCTTCTTCACGACACCCACGGGATGAATAGGGGTGGTGACATTCCGCATTCTTAATCCGTCACCACACGGACTTATAATAAATATTTGATGGAGGTGCTATATATTTCTATCGGCGACTGTACGCGTTTGCGTATTAAGGAGATTCAGGGATTATAACATTTTTCTAGGGTATACCTGGTTCCCCGGCTATTAGTACCCGAGACGGCGTGCGGTTTTAGTCGGTTCGAGTCCGACATGCCACCGATAGGTGGTATCCGAGGGGATTTCCGCACGGAAAAAAAAGGGATTATAACATTATAATAACAAATGGTAACATTTTTATATTTTTTTAAACTTTTTACTGGCAACCCGGTAAATGTCTGGTTGGTCTAGGTTAAATTAATTAGTTATTAGTAATGAGGGCAGCACAGGACTGGTTGTTGTGGCGAACGTTGGACGAGGCATAGGTCCAGCAGTGGACGTCTTTGGGCTTAGATGATGATTAATTAGCTAGTTATAATTTTCGAGAAGATATTTTTTTCTTTAGGATACTTCAAATGGTCTGATCCTGATCCACAGAAAAATTTCACTTCTGTATCAGTGTTGCGTGATTGCGTGTAATCATAGTCTTATGTAGTAACGTATTATGACATTAGAACCAGACACTTCAATTTTATTTTTTGTATAGATCATAGTTTCGTAACTCCGTGTGGTGACGGATTAAGAATGCGGAGTGTCACCACCCCTATTCATCCCGTGGGTGTCGTAAGAGCCGACTAAGGGAAAAAACTACGCAGGTCAACAGCACTGCAGAGAGAAGGAAAACTTGACACAAACCCTGTACCAACCCGTCGGTCAGCGTGGTATAGTAGGCCAAAACTAGTGATGTGCCGGATCGTTAACAAAGTATATCCGCGGATACAGATCCGGATACGGATATTTGGTGTCAAGATCCGCGGATACGGATACGGATACGGATACGGATCTTAAGTTTCTTACTCAATCGGAGCCCGTGACCTTGATAGTTGTCGCTACTTGACGCTTTGCCGTTGATATTTAAATATTTCATTATTTTAATAAGCTAATACAAAGATGTTTGATTGATCTCATTATAAAGATAGCTCTTTCAGTACCTACGACCTGCGTAGTATTTAGTGTAGTACGATAAATGATTGCAATACAAAGGTGCCAAATATTTGTTTTAAGAAATAAAAAGTAATCTGAACAGAATTCAATAGTTTTTCATAGCTACCTAATAACCAATATTATTTAACGGGAATTAACGCGATCTCTTATTTAGGGTATTACATACCTCTGGTTTGCCTGACGTTTCGACCAGGTTGCACCGGCCGTGGTCACAGGCTGACTGACAGTCAGCCTGTGACCACCCTAATAAGAGATCGCGTTAATTCCCGTTAAATAATATTAATTATCATGGAACGCGAAAGTTTAAAAGTTAGTACCTAATAACCATTATTCAGGGTTATTTTAAATATACTGAAAACCTCTAAAGTGCGTATTAGTAACATTATAAACAACAACTTTTCTTCTGGACTAACACCGAAAACGAAAGAAAAAAAATTGTTTCTCCATACAAACTAACAACATTTAATTGGGCATTTGAATGGAGAACCATTTTTTTTTTATGTTGACGTTGACCAGAAAAAAAGTTGCTGTTTATAGTGTTACAAACACATACCTAAGAGCTTTACAGTGAATACAAAATCACCTATATAGAATTTCATCTATATAATATGTATTGAAAGATCCGCCAAAAAAGTCACGGATACGGATACGGTTACGGATCTCTCTTCTCCCTTGGATATCCGCGGATACGGATACGGATACGGATATCCGGCACATCACTAGCCAAAACCTCCTTTCTAAGAAGAGGCCTATGTCCAGCAGTGGAATATTATAGGCTGTTGATGACCAAATATTTATTTTTACATTACTCAAAACAAGTCACATAGTGGACCCACTCTTAGTGACAAATATCAAACTACAGTAAACAACTCACGTCCATGGCCGACATGCGTCTTGTAGAAGGTGACCATGACTCGGTCCATGGTCTCGGTGACGATCATGTGCGCGGGACATGCCTTGCCCGTCTTGTATATCTGTCGCTCTGGGGCTGGCCGCTTGCCTTTACCCTATGAGTGACAACATCAACAATGCTCAATAATTCTTTTTGTTACGTAATTCTATTCTCAAGTCTCTAGTCCTTTAGTCACATTGTTGCGACTGCGAGTTAACTAAACAACGCACTCTAACAGGCAACAGCGCGGCGTGCGGGGGGGGGGGGACCCAGCCGGGGAGGAGCAGAGGACATATAAAACAGCCGTTGCTCGCCTTGGGACATCACCGTGGACGGTCCGACTTCAACCTCACACTACATAACGTGTAAAGACCTGGCGATTAAAATACCAGTAAAATGGCAGTGGACTGCATAGTCCACTGCCATTTTATTTACGTCCCCTGGACCCTTAACACACATAAAGTCCACTAAATCAAAGTTTCCTTTGTATCAAAATGTCGACTATATCAAAAGGTCCATAAGGTCTTAGGTATCATAAGGTCCACATGTAATAAAGTCCACACTATCACAAGGGTCACATTCCTTTATGTCCATCTTAAAAAAAAGGAAAAAAAAGTTGTTTTTTTTATTTCAAGTTCTGAAATTATCATACGACTGCACGAATGGCGTAGTGGTTTAAGCGGTCGCCACGCCGCTTCCTACTACCATCATCCTCCGAGCCTATTCCCAAACCAGGTCGGGCTCGGCTTTAAGTCTACTAGAACACGGTTGAACTTCCATTTTTTAAGTGTAGTGACTGCCATCAGACCTTCACAACCCAAGTACTGGGCGATATCCAAGGTGTTGAGAAATACTGTCGTTTTTTACTAAACAGGGTAAGTTAACACATTGCAAAGGTAAGCAATCCTAGCCAGGTCAATCTACGGATGGGTGACCATTCTTAATACTCCCCCTCTGTGCCTCGGAGAGCACCGCTAAGCCGTCGGTCCCGTTTGCCATTCGAACATCTGTGACAATCGTTGCGGGTAGTTTGAACTCTCAAAAGTCCAAGAATACGAGTAGTTTCATAATCCTAATCCTAACATATCAATGTGTTCCTTGTTTTTCCTAGTGGGTCAAAAGCTGGTGCGACCATGGTGATGTTATAGCCTCAGTATCGTGAACTGACCTGGTACACGTAGACTCCAGACTGACTGCACATATAATGAGAGCGGACCCCCTCAATAGTCTGCTTACTGGCCGTGGTCTTCCTGAAGCGGAACTTGGTCTCTTCTTGAATAGCCCCCTTGAACAGCATGAAGTCTAAAAGACAATATCACACCTATCATTAATCACTTTTAATCCTCGTTAAGTTAGTGTGGTGACGGATTGAGTATATCAAGCGTCACCACCCCTATTCATCCCGTGGGTGTCGTAAGAACCGACTGAAAGACTAAACTCCGCAGGATAACACCACTGTAAAGAGAAGGAAACCTTGAAACAAACCCTATACCAACCCGTCTGGTAGGCATGGTATAATAGGCCAAAATCTCCTTAGGCCTTAAAAGAGGCCTATGTCCAGCAGTGGACTATTAAAGGCCGTTGATGAAGTTAGACGTTTAAAGTCTCCGTGGCATCGTAGTTCCTAAACGGAAGGATGGAAGTTGACTTGATGTTTTGTCTGAACAGTGTTCCGAATTTAGGATCTTTTGGAGTTTTCCATTTATATACTTTTATTTTTTTACTTTGCCACTAGGCAGACCACCTGATGGTCAGACGACATTGTGAGGGCGGTAGGAGAGCAATGGATCCGGCTGGCACAAAACCTCCAGGAGTGGCGTGATAGAGAAGAGGCCTATACCCAGTAGTTGGTGCAGCAGGCTGCTTAGATAGATGCTTTTACGGTATAGGGGCCAAACGAGCAGGCGGGCCATCTGAGCTCAAGAGTCACGGGTGCGTAGCTGACTTTGGGGTGCATCTATGTTATAAAGCTGAAGTTTGGTTAAACGCGCTAATCTCCAGAACTACTGGTTCGAATTGAAAAATTCTTTCAGAGTTGGATAGCCAATCTATCGAAAAAAGATCGATCATGAGATTACTCTACGACCTATAAGGAGCCGAAAATCAATGAATGTATATGTATATTGTTAGTTGGTACTCACCATCCATGCTATGAAATTCAAGCTGTTCCACTTGCTCGTACACGCCGTGCTCGTGCACCAAATGGGAACTGAAGTTGGACCCGTAACTAACGCGCTCATCGCATAGCGGACATATAAAAGCTTTGCGCTTTTCCACCTTAAGCATAAGAATAAATTAAAAATGTCATTGAGCAAAATTAACTGTTCGTGTGATGACGGATTAAGAATAACGAGTGTCACCACCCTTATTCGTCCCGTGGATGTCGTAAACACTGCAAAGAGAAAGAAAACTTGACACAAACCCTATACCAACCCATCTGGCCAGCGTGGTATAGTAGGCCAAAACCTCCTTTCTAAGGAGAGGCCTATGTCCAGCAGATGGGCTATTAAAGACTATTGATGAATATAAATGTTAAAAGGTCTTTAAAGGTCTGTTAACTGTAGTAAGTAACCATCACTGGTAGTGATGGTTACCTTGACTTACAGGTTCGACCCTGACCTGCTCAAGAACTCGAGAATTTCAGACAGATATTTTGGGAGCTTACATTTTCCTTCATCCTGGTTGGGAATCTATTCCGCAGCCTCTCGCTAGTCCGTGCCGCTGACCACTAGACCCACAGGCCCGTCAAAGAAGAAGGTCAATTGAGATAGTGCCCGTGTGTTTTCTGTGATGGCTACTAGGACAGGGTCTCAAGCTGGCTACCAACTTTTTTTTTCTTTTTAAAAAAAATAGGAATAAATCCTGTGTCGCGGGGGACTTTACACACACACACACACACACACACACACACACACACACACACACACACAAGGGGACACAAGGACACCCAGACTCAGAACAACAATTTGTGGATCGCACAAAGTGTCGTCCCATGTGGGGATCGGACCCACAACACTCAGCGTAGCAGTAAGGCGTGTAAGCGTGCCGACGGCTTAAACCACTACGCCACTATCCGTGCAGTCAAATCAATGTATCACAAGGTTCTCACCTCAAAACCATGAGCTTTCCACAAATGCTTGTTCAGAATCTGTTTCTGGCTGAAGTCTCTGTTGCACATGTGACATTTCTTCCTTTCCTTCGGCACGTATTTGGGTGTTTGCTCGTTACATATCTTGACTAAACAGTATGAAATGATATAAATTTATTTGCTGGAAGATGCATAAGGTTGGTGATAACCATTATAACAGCTCATCTGACTTTTTGCAGAGGGGAGGGGAGGGGGAGAAGGACTGGACAAAATTAGTTTATGTCGGTTTAAGGTGGTCTAAGAATAAAATGTAACGTATAATTATTATTCCGTAAGCATAAAAAAATTTAGTCAGCAGATCGTGAAAAGTTCAATAAAGTAAAAACCATCATAAGCTGCCAACATTTCAAGTTTGTAGCCCCTACGGTTTAGGTTATGTGTTGATGAATTAGTCAGGGCCAGTAATTTTACGTTATAATAATGAGGGAAATAACGCGGATGGGAGCGAGACCGAAAAATGTGTAACAAGACTTTTTTCCAACACTTCAATTGACGTTCACATCTTTTTCATATTTCATATATATACATATATATATAGAAGTGAAAGGAACTTCGTTCCGACCGGGGTCCATAGACCCCTCACGCCGTTTTTTATATATAAATTACATCCTTTGACAAAAAATCGTAGCTTCTTGAACTTTTTACCTGCACATCGTCTGTGCACAGTAGGTATTTGTATAAAAGTGATTATAACAATTATGTGAACTCACGTCCATGTTTCATCCTGAGGTGCGTGAAGCAAGCCTTCTTGCTGACGTAAATATTGTCACAGAAGTGACAGGGATACTTCTTTCCTTCTGCATCTGATTTCATCCCGTGACACCTGGCAAAGAAGAGGGACGTTTTGTAGCACAGTTGTAGAGAAGAAGATATATATCCCCATTTGGCGACTGGAACTTCAACGGTCACGGATCCAGGATCCTGACTCCTGAACCAGAGGCCGTGGGTTTTAGTAAGCTGGGATTGGTTTCTGGTAAGTAATAATAACCTCAGACATCTCACTGCCGGCCGTCTTATCTCAAACTAAGCAGAGTCTGTACCGTGGTACCCAGACTACTCGGAATCCGGGAACTACTGTTATTAAGACATCCGGACCCCTCTTAGCGACTGCCCGGAACAGCGCATGCATCACCTTCGGGTAAATTATCTATTTAGGCAACGTCCGGCAAACGCGGACGTTTACCCGATGTAACGGCCAGCCGGGAGGATCGCCTCCTCGCGGTTTGCCGTTATGGCGGGTGAAGGGGAAACCCGTCCTGTCCACCCGCGGCCACAGTTAGGGCGGCATGAGGCGCTTGGTAAGCGTGCCTCCGCCGCCCGGTTCATCGGCGGCGAATTGGGTCCGAGTGAAGATCATCCTCCCGGACCCTATCCGCCGCCTCCTTCTCCAAGATAACGTATTCACAGAATAGCGTCAAGAATGAGGCCCAGATATTTCATCTGGGCCTGAACCGGCAAGAGGACCGAGTTGACCACGATTGAGGCTCCGGGGGGTGGACCACGACGTGGCCCATGGAATAAGAGAGCCTCCGTCTTATCCAGGGCCATCCTCAATGCGCCCGACCACCAGAGAGATTCGCCTCCCAGGCTGTGACTAGAGTGTCATCAGCGTAACAGATTACCCCCAGCCCGGGGGGGAAAGTCTCATCGTAAGGCCCAGTCGTACCCTATGCTCCACATGAGCGGTCCGAGAACAGAACTGCGGAACTCCACACGACATGGGCCGACGACACAAAACACCATTTCGGTCCTCGTACATGACGGTACGCTCCTGTAAATAGTCTGCCACTAGCCGCCTTGATGATGCCACTACTTCCCTGATGCAGCTGAAGAGCACACTCGGTCACGGTCCTGAGGCGCAATAGAGCATCGATCGTCGAACACCCCGCTCGAAAACCGAATTGGGCGTCCGACAGATCAGGGTCACTATCGAGTTTGGACTCCTGGGATTTAGAGGAAAACAGTGGACTTCGAGGATCTGATGATGGACAAGAAGAATAGAGGATTCTGCTTTTATTGCAGTGCGCTATTCACCCGTTTTTAATGTGTAACATCTTCCCTGGAAGTGATTTCGTAAAAAGGGACGGGAATGTGTAACAGGAAGTCGGAGTAACGCGCGCATTTTTTATGGAAAAGGAGGGAAACGAGCAGACGGGTCACCTGATATTAAGTGACTACCGCCACCCATGAACTTCTGCAACTCTGGAGTCATAAACGCGTTGCCGGCCTTTGAGGAAGGAGTACGCTCTTTTCTTGAAGGTTTGAAGGTCGTATCTGACCAATGATATGTCGTATGCGATTATTAAAGGCACGATTTCTTTTAAAAAAAAATATTACAATAATTAATATAAAATAATAATACTCGTATAATTAAGACAGTCTTTATTACAGTAACATATAATTAACTGCAAAAAGTAAATAGCGACCGTGTGCAGGTACTTTCCGAAGTAACCGTGCCGGAAAGCACCTGCGTCAGCCGGAAGGAAAGGGTCCCGTGCTGCCGCCCTGCCCACTCGGCGATGACCGGCTGGAGAGCCTCCACGGCGGCGAAGCCAGCGCGTGGAGTCTCCAGCCGGAATGACCAACGAGCCATCGTGGCTCGGCGAGCGGCTTCGCGCCACTCGCGCACATCCTCGGGCGGAGGGCGAAATCCGCTCTCCGCCCGGTAGTCAGCCACTCGCCGATAAACTTCGGCGAGCACTTCCGCCTCCAAATCCCACGGGGGAGTACCGGCCAACGCGCACGCCACCTCCGTCGAAACGGTGCGGTAACCGCGTATGGCTCTGACCGCCATTACCCTCTGAGGGCGCCAGAGGCGTACCCTATTCTGGGCGGTCAGAGCCGCCGCCCACACCGGTGCACCGTACAGTGCCATTGACCGGACAACCCCCGTGTACAGCCGTCTTGTCGCGACGCTGGGTCCACCCATATTGGGCAAAAGTCGCCCTAGGGCAGACGCAGCGCCGACCAGCTTTGGAGCAAGCTGTCGGAAGTGCTCGTCGAAGAGCCACCTCCCGTCGAGGATCAGGCCCAGATATTTCATCTGGGCCCGAACCGGTACGAGGACCGAGTTGACCACGATGGAGGCGCCAGGGGGTGGACCACGACGGGGCCCATGAAATAACAGGGCCTCCGTCTTATCTAGGGCCACCCGTAAGCCCAGCGCCTCAATGCGCCCGACCACCAGGGAGACTCCCCCTGTGGCCAGGCGCGCCGCCTCTTGGAAGTTTGCCCCCCGGGCTGTCACCAAGGTATCGTCTGCGTAACAGATTACACCCAGCCCGGGGGGGAAATCGGCGCGAAGGGCCCAGTCGTACCCTATGTTCCACAAGAGGGGTCCAAGAACAGACCCCTGTGGAACACCGCACGACATGGGCCGACTCCTCAAATTACCTTCTTGGTCCTCGTACACGACGGTATTGGAACAGACCCTATACCAACCACAACAACTTTTCTAAGGAGAGGCCTATGTTCAATAGTCGACTATTAAAGGCTGTTGATGATGACTGAGGATATTTTATATTACATAGGGAAAAACGAGCCGCCCATGGTGACCTGAAACCCTTTCAGAATCAGGTGAGGGGGGGTTTTACCGGTTACCACAGTCAGTCGGTGAAAAGTACCGACATAACTGCTTTAGTTTTCTGTGAGGCCGTGGTGTACTTACCTATTGTGATGGTCTGTGGGGTCACGTAGAGCGACCCCACATAACGAACACTCCCTCAGCGGTAGGCCGGTCCTGGGCTCCAACTCGTGCACAGTCCGAATGTGATCATGTATATCCTCAACTGTGGTCAATTGTAAGTCACAGTACAAGCAAGTGGTCTCATCGAGAGCTTGGATCGCGTGGTCTTCGTCCATTTCCTCTGTGACAGCAAAAATCCGATTATCTATCTATATATTTATGAAAATGTTAATTTGGTTTGTGTTCAGTTTTGTAGAGTTCAAAAACTCAAAAAGTTCTGCACCGATTGCGTTCAAATTCTGTCACGATATACTTCGGGCTAACTAACAGGCTTCAAAGATGGTTTTATCTGTTTTTCGTCAGATAGATAGATAGATAGATATCATCATCATCATCATCATCATCAACAGCCTTTAATAGTCCACTGCTGGACATAAGCCTCTCCTTAGAAAGGAGGTTTTGGACTACTATACCACGCTGGCCAGACGGGTTGGTATAGGGTTTGTGTCAAGTTTTCGTTCTCTCTGCAGTGCTGTTGTCCTGCGCAGTTTTTTCCCTTAGTCGGCTCTTACGACACCCACGGGATGAATAGGGGTGGTGACACTCCGTATTCTTAATCCGTCACCACACGGACCAATAGCTAATTAATACTATTACTAATATTATAAATGCGAGTGGGTCTGTCTGTCCGTTGCCTCTTCACGCTTAAACCACTGCCCCAATTTAGATGAAATTCGATAGAGATAGTACGAGTCCCAGGAAAGGACATAGGGTAGTTTTTATCCTATAAATCATCCTTTAAGTGGGGTGAAAAGGGTGGTGGAAGTTTGTATGGGGAATCAATAACCACTGAATCGATTGACATGAAATTTCGTATGGAGATACTTTGATTCTTGAGGAAAAACATAGGCTAGCTTTTACCGCGATAACCGATATACGAGTATACGCGGGCGGAACCGCGGGCAATAACTATAAGTCTTAAAATGCCTTACCGTCTAAATAATCGTCATCACATTCGGAGCCTTTGGCCTTCTTAGGATCATCAGGGGTGATGCTCTCCGCCTCCTCTAATATGGACTCGTCCAGGTATTCTTCGTCTAGGAATTGTAATTAATAATTTATAGGTTCTACAACCTTTTATTTTTCTACTTTTTTCACAACCCTTGTTAATAGGTAGTATTTTTTTTTCTTTTTTTTAAAGCCATATTAGATTATGTGCATGCGGTGTTTACCTACATAAGTTATGCACTTAGATTAAGGTCAATACTATGTTCTATTTTTTACGAATGTTTGTGTAATAATTACTTTTACCAATAAACCAATAAGTAGACCAATAAATAAATAAATAATAAACAGCTTCGATCAAGAATAGGTGTGTGGATACTTATTAAAAATATTTTTATTTAAAATGCTTTAATCTATATCTAGAAAAGAAGAAACTGATTCACTGACTGAACGATCAATGCACAGCTGCAACTAGGAGCATGAAATTTTGCATAAATGTTGCTTAAGTGACGTAGGGGTGCACTAAGAAAGGATTTATAAAAATTTCACCCCTAAGGGCGCAAAATGGGGGTTGGAAATATATATGGAACTTCGTTATTTTTGGGTAGTAGCGTATCTTCTACGACGTCTGATGTCGTCCACCACGCGGACGAAGTCTCTGGCAAAAGCTAGAAAGTGACTATCGCCGCCCATGAACGTCTGCAACTCAGGAGTCACAAACGCGTTGCCGGCCTTTTAGGAAGGAGTACGCTCTTTTCTTGAAGGTTTGAAGGTCGTATCGGTTAAGAAATATCGTATCGAGTATTCCCAAATATCTTTCGCTTCATACCATGTCCGAAGAACATTAACTTTCCCAAGAAGGTTCGGCATTAGGCCATAAGAAAACCCAAATCCTTAACGCAGTGAAAAAAAAGGAGTGCGTAAAAGAAGATGTGTGATAAAGGAAAATGGAAGAAGAAAACTCTAGAAACGACCCCAAATAATTTTGGGTAAAGGGTTGGAAGATGATGATGATGGTAAATCAATTTATAAAAGCCGACCGAAAAAGCCTCAAATAATAATTATGATATGACCGCAAAACCGCAATCAGATTATGTCACTAACCGATAATTTGACAGCCGATAGTTGATATTATTACACTATTAACTGATTTTTTTTTTGATTTTTTTTTTACCGCACCGCCATCTAGTCCCAAACTAAGCAGAGCTTGTACTATGGGTACTAGACAACTGATATAAATACATATATACTTTTTTTTATAATTACATACATATTATACATAGAAACACCCAGACCAAATCAAACATTAAATATTCATGCACACAAATGTTTCACTTGAGCGGGAATCGAACCCGCGAGCTTTGGAATAGCAGTCCGTTACACAAACCACTACGCCATCCGGTCGTTGAACTGCATGTAATGGACGTGACATCACCCTACGCGCCAGCCCGCCATGGCCAAGCCGCCATTTTGACTTTCATCAGTCAAGCCAATACGCTATCATAGTAGTGGGGATGTGTTAATATAAGCCATAGCCGGCCACTTAGTGTATCATTTATCTTAAATTTTCAGACAAGGCAGCCATTATGTAGAGAATTTGTGAATAAAATATACAATTGAAACGCTTCTACTTTTATTTATAGCCCATTTCATACATTTTTACTTATACTACGCTATGGAGATCTGTCATTTAACGGGTTATGACGCAATCAAACGGGATGCAATTTGTACTTTAGGTGTTTTTTTATGGTATAAGGGGCAAACGAGCAGACGGGTCACCTGATGGTAAGCAACTGCCGCCGCCCATGGACACCTGCAACTAAAAAGTCACAAGTGCGTTGTCGCCTAGGAGTCCCTCCCGCTCGAATCAGCGGGAGGGGGGAGAGGGGATAGGTTTAATTTTTTGAATTATCTACATTGAAAAAAAAAAACTAGCTGTAACACTGTGGTAAAGTACGTTCATTTTACTTACTTTTAACATGCTGTAACATAACAAGGCTCTTAGACGTCTGTTCTTTGAAACGCACGGCTTTTCCTAGCCTTTCGGCACAATCTGAACATATGTATTTGATATGGTTCGGCACCTACAATTATTTAATTTAATCAAGTTATTTTTACAGATGATTCAGTGACTCCATAGTCAAACTTAGTTGACCGAAGGAGGATATTAGCAGGGCTTGGCACTTTCTCAAAAACTTGTCTAACCAACATATCCTATAAATTAGGGGCCAGTGTTATGATAGCCACACCCTCCTCTTGTCCTCCGTTCACCCTACTTACTCAGTTCAAAGCAACGAAAGAACTGTTTAATTCTAAGTGTCGAAGCTGTACTCATTCACTGCAGGCCTTCTAAATTGAACTCCACTTAGAGTTGATTAAGACTAAAGGTCTGCCAGAATCATGAGTTCAGAAGGTCTGAAGGCCAATTCTCGTAATAAAAGTTCGGTCACAATTCAGTTCCGATCAACTTTCGATCTCACAGCAAAGGTATTCTCGTAGTAAAGTATTAAACATCGAAGTTGACTGTAATGTGATTATATCGTATTGTGACCAAAAATTAAATTAGTTTTGCTAGTCTTAATACTTTACTATTTTAATAAGAAAATACGTTTTATGACAGTTGATCAAACCCGGTGATCAGCTTATAGGACCTAAGACCTTTTGTTGGAAATTAACGGACTTAAACCACAACGTATTATGACACTAATGGATCTATAAAAAGGGTCCCTTGTCGTGATAGTGAATTGACTTTTTACGTGTGGAAGAAACTCCATGACCAATCGTGTTATCACATCAACAACCTTGAGTAGTCCACCGCTAGACATAAGCCTCTTAGAAAGGAGGTTCGAAAGAATCGTGTTATATTAGGGTCTAACTATTAGTTAGTTTACCACTCGGTTTTCCATCATAGCTTAATGATGCCGAGGACACAACGTACCCAAAGAAGTAAATTTCTGTAAATCGTATAACCTAATTATTGAAAAATAAAAAATAAAACAGACTATGTAAACATGTACACCTACTTAAAACTTATTACCTGGCGACTTTATCTATACTAATATTATAAAGCTGAAGAGTTTGTTTGTTTGTTTGTTTGTTTGTTTGAACGCGCTAATCTCAGGAACTACTGGTCCGATTTGAAAAATTCTTTCAGTGTTAGATAGCCCATTTATCGAGGAAGGTTATAGGCTATATATCATCACGCTACGAGCAATAGGAGCGGAGCACCAATAAAGAATGTTTCAAAAACGGAGTAAATTTATTACTATTGAGAGACGCAGACGAAGTTGCGCGGGTCAGCTAGTCTTATATATAAAATTCTCGTGTCACAATGTTCGTTCCCGTACTCCTCCGAAACGGCTTGACCGATTCTCATGAAATTTTGTGTGCACATCGGATAGGTCTGAGAATCGGCCAACATCTATTTTTCATACCCCTAAATGGTAAGGGTTACCCATCCCTAACTTTTTTTTTGTTTTGCAATACAACGTTTGCCGGGGCGACTTTGTTTTATAATTTTCATATGCCCAGCGTCTCTCTAACTACACGACGACTCCTCAAACGCCAAATACCATTAAACCGTTTATACTACAGAACGTGCCGAAAAAATGTCCATATATACGAGGGGTGATCAATAAGTAATGATAATCAACATGAAACAGAACTATTAGATTAAAAAATGTATTTTATTTTTCAACATAGTCTCCTTGCAAGTTAATACATTTAGTGTATCTTTTTTCTAAGCCCATGATTCCCTTAGAAAAAATTTCTTTGTCTTGACCCTCCCAAAATGCCTCTACTGCGGCCATCACTTCACTATTGTCCTCAAATTTGTTGCCCCGGAGGTGTTCTTTGAGCCGAGGAGAGAGGTAGAAGTCACTGGGAGCTAGATCTGGCGAATAGGGAGGGTGTTCGAGCAGTTTGAACCCCGTTTCTTCAATGGCAGCCATCGCAACTGCGGCTTTGTGAGCCGGGGCGTTGTCTTGGTGAAACAGCACTCCAGCGCGCAGTTTACCGCGTCTTTTTGACTTAATAGCTTCTCGCAATCTTCTTATTTGGCCTGCGTAGTAAGAGCCTGTTATAGTGGCCCCCTTTTCCAAATATTCCACCATAATAATTCCTTCTGCATCCCAGAAAACAGACGCCATAACCTTTCCCGCTGAACTTGACACTTTGAATTTCTTCGGCGTTGGTGAGGAAGCTCGTTTCCAAGTCATTGATTGTTGTTTGGTTTCGGGATCAAAGTGGTGGATCCAGGTCTCGTCCATGGTCACAAAACGCGACAAAAAAAATTCTTTATCGGCCTGAAACTTTTGAAGATTCACCCTCGAAATGTCGACTCGTTTCTTTTTTTGCTCGTCGGTTAACATTCTCGGTACCCAACGCGCAGAGACCTTTTTCATATGCATTTTGTTGACAATGATTTTTTGAACGCTGCCATAGGAGATCCCTGTGACCTCAGCTACATGCCTTACGGTCACCCTTCGATCGGCCAACACGATATCTTCCACTTTTTTGACGTTTTCTCCAGTAAGGGACGTGGAAGGGCGTCCCTCGCGATGTTCATCTTCAGTGGAGGTTCTGCCCAGCTTAAATTCCTTTGCCCAGCGTGCGACTATGGAATATGGAGGAGCAGACTCCCCCAATGTTTCCTCTAAGTCGCTGTGTATGTCTTTGGTAGACATTTTTTTCAGGCAGAGGTACTTGATGACAGCTCTTATTTCATTTTTCTCCATTTTGATGTTTTCTCTTCGACAGTTCGTATTCAAATGAATGTATCTCCCGGTAATGGTGTCCTATTTATACATTTTTTTGAAGCTGAAGTAGTGGATATATAAGCAAGCAGAAAAAAAATAATTTGGGTTTTTGTGCGTTCTAGAAATACTCGATTATCATTACTTATTGATCACCCCTCGTACATACTTTTATATTATACTCGTGAACGTAACAGTGAGTTTGTTTGGTACGCTATCACGCCTAAATCTCTAAACCGATTTCAAAAATTCTTTCACCAATGGAAAGCTACATTATCAGCGAGTAACGTAGGATACTTTTACCGCGATAATCGACATACACGCGGGCGGGGCTGCAGGTAAAAGATACTAAGTTCGATGATACGATGATGATTTTGGAACAAAAATAGCTAGACCGAAAAGGTACAACGATAATATAATAGAACAAAAATTCAACTCAAATATTACTGTGACAAGTGTGCGTGTTTAATACTTGAAAGCCGATCGCAGGCAGTATAGTAATATAGCATTATTGTTCTGTTCGCCTAGCAGCATAAATTAAACAAAAATTGTTTGACGCGCGGCCTACGCTTTCATCCGTTTGATCTGGACGGAGTAAAAAAATAAAAATGTCATAGTGACTACTTCTTTCTCCTATTTTCTCTGCTTTCTCCTTTTGTGTATAATATCATTGTAATTAGTTTGTTATATATATCATATCAGTATGATAGGTACCTAATTACTAGCACTTGTAAGTTAAAATTAAGTATAACATAAAAATTTGATTCCAAACATGCTATACAACTAGGATTCTTTTAGGAAATAAAGCCTTATGAAGATAGGGCCCGCTAGTTTTTAAAAAATATCTAATTCTTAATAAATCGTAATGTTTTTAAATGTCAATTACAACAAATGCAAAATTAAAATCTAACAAAAATTTATAAATAAGTATCTACAATCTTAACAGTTGCCAAAAGAAGGTTAAACTTAAAAGATAAATCGTACTTTTTATTAAAAATCTATTGATATTAGGAAAAAGATTTATATATAACCTTCAAGTCGAAGCAGGTTTCAAACATTTTCGCATAAGTTGCCGTGTTCTCTGCATACAAAGCAAATAGGTCGCATAAATCGTTTGCGTTCATGCAGCTGATACAACCTACAAACTCTTCGTCCTCCATTTTATTTGGTTTATTTTATAATAAAAATATCATAGATTACTAAGGAGGCCTGCCATGATTTGAAACAAATTTAAATTTTGTGCTTCTTTTCGAAAACATTTGACGATCGCGGGCTCTAGTGATTAGCTTTCTTTTGTATTGTAATCGATCGATTCATGTACGATAATAACAATTTACCGTCGGGTAACATTAGCCTCTGAAAAATGTTATGAGATAAACAGTAACAACATATGTAATGTTTATTATACAAAAGAAATATACTTATATTTTTAAAATAATTTTAGATGAATTTTGTATTCATGAAAATTCAAACATCTTAAATCAGCAAAATAAAGAATGTGGAAAATAATCTGAAATAGTTATGTTAGCATTTTTTTTTAATCTTGTATATTTCATGCCAACAAATTCCAGTTGTACAACTTGCAGAAGAACCAAAACAAATAATAGTAATAATAACTTTTATTATATTAGAATCATTAACACTTAAAATTAGAATATTGAAACAATTACACAGACGAGTTCTAAACGATGTTAAACAATAGATAGAAACTGAAGATTAGAATGGCTTTGTTAAAAGAAAAGAATTAGAGAAACAGAGAAGGTTACAAATAAAATAAAAAGAGAGTTTTAACAGAGAATTTGATTACTTTGGAATACATATTAGAAAGATTATCAATGTTACAATGTACACATTGTACACATCCAATTCACGCAATAACAAGACGTTGGCCATCATTAGAAAGAAACACTAACTCGCTCACTCATAGCGTAAAAATTGATTAGCAAAAACGAGACGAAAAATTGCTTATGACAGCTAATTATTGCCATTACAAGTTTTTCTCCTATTAAATATGCAAACTCTTAGTTCATTGGCAAATTATTTAATTAAATAAAGTATTATAACACTAACATCTAATTTTATCGGTATATGAAATAAAATCTTGCAGATAACTTTTCCTAATGATATTAAAAATGTTAACCATTAGGGCTGTTTGTTTACAATTATGTCTAATTGTTAAGAAGGTTATATACATCAGTTACAAATTGTCTATCTTTAATATGATGATGTTACCTAGCAACTGTTGTTAATTTGTAGTCAACAATAAATTTGTCAATAACAGAAACTTGCTTTCCATATTGTATTTTATTTTATTATATTAAAGTGGTAGCAGAGCGTAAACAATGGAGCAAGCATTAAATGCGAGTAAGATTCAAATTGGGAAACTAGATTCCAATAATTATAAAACATGGAGATTCAAAATTCTAATCGTGCTAAAGGCAATACCAGGAGGCATGTTCATCCTCGAAGGGAAGAAGGTAAGACCATCCTTGGCGCTTTCGGCTACTGGCGATGCAAAGGCTAGTTATGAAAAAGACCTCCAAAGTTTTGAAAATTTGAATAGCGCAATTTTAATTCTGTTGACAACAAACATGTCAGATGATATTTTACAAAAGTTTTTGCGATTTGATTCTGCTAAAGATATGTGGGATGAGCTAGAGCGCACCTATGGAGGTACGTGTGTAGACAAGACATACAACTTATGCCTGAAATTCTTCAGTTACAAAAAGGACCCAGAACATGACATAATTACACATGTGTCAATTTTAAAGAATATTTGGAGCGAGCTATGTACGGAATTGCAGAGTGAAACAAAATTACCTGAAATTCTTTTAATATGCAAGATACTAGATACATTACCTCCAGAATATCTTGGTTTTAAGTCCAGTTGGCTGTTGATTTCAAAAATGGAAAGATCAGTTGAAAATCTGACAAGTCAATTGTGTGCACAAGAGAGAGTCCTGCGTCAAGACACAAATGTCACAGAGGAGACTAGTGCAGAAGCTTTGTATACAAAAACAAATAAGGGTAAGAAAAAGAAGAATTTTAACGAGCCTAAATGCAATTATTGCAAGGAAAAGGGACATAGAGTTAGAAATTGTAAGCGGTGGATCCAAGATGGAAGGCCGTCCAAGGAAACCAAGACCGCAAACACGAACCTGACTGTTATGACAATAGATTCGGCTGATTTTGGAGAAAGGAAAGATTTAGAGAATTGGTTCATTGATAATGGGGCTACCAATCATGTTACCAATCGAAATGATCTCTTTCAGACCTTCAAATATTTCAAGAGCCGTCATACAGTGACTGGCGCGAATGGCCAATATATTGAAGCCCTAGGCATCGGAAATATTCTTGCAGAGGCTGATGTAAACGGAAATGCAATACCGATACTACTGAAGAATGTCTGGTACGTACCCAGCATTAGCAGGAATTTATTTTCAGTACTTGCAACCCACGACATATCTGACAACAGTGTTTTTGAATCTACCACACTAAAATGTACACTAAAGATTGATGGACAGGTAAAGCTGATTGGCACCCGCAGCAAGTTTGGAGGACTCTTTAAAATTAATATAAGATGTCTGGAACCAACTGTACGAGTCAATCAGGTGTCCACAAACACAAATTTGTTACAGCTATATCATGAAAGATTTGGACATCAAAATAAAAGCCATGTGAAGAAGGTGATTGAAAATGAGTTTCATATAAAAGTACCAGTAACCAAGGAACTCTGTGAAGGTTGCATCTATGGCAAATCCCATAGACTTAAGTTTGGGACCCGAGAGAAAGCAACGAGACCTGGAGAACTTGTATATGCTGATGTTTGTGGACCCTTCCCATATTCTATCACAAAGTTGCGATATTTTGTTCTCTTCAAAGATGATTATACAAGGTACAGATTTGTGTATTTTATGAGGGAAAAAGCAGAAGTACACGCGAAATTGCTACTTATGCTTACTGAAGTAAAAGCATCAGGAGTTGTCATAAAAGAACTTCTTAGCGACAACGGTGGTGAGTTTGTCAACGCGAAGGTACAAGCTACTCTCAAGAAGGAAGGTATTGTGCAAAGATTGACAATGCCGTATACGCCACAACAAAATCCAACAGAGCGAGACAACAGGACCGTTGTGGAAATGGCGCGGAGTCTAATGTACGCACATGCAAAAATTCCTCCTGCACTTTGGGCTGAAATGATATCTGCTGCGGTGTACATCTTAAACAGAACAGGCCCAACCTCTGTGGATGGAAAATCACCGTATGAGTTATGGCACCAGAAGAAACCCAGACTGAGTCATTTAAGAATAATAGGATCCATTTGTTATCCACATGTTCCCAAGCAAAGACGAAAGAAGTTAGACAAGAAGGCACAAAAAGGAATATTAATTGGATATGACTCTGACAATGGCTACCGTATTTGGGACAGCAACTCTTTCAAACTGATTCGTTCCAGAGATGTCACTTTTAATGAGAATCCTTTATTGGGTCACTTTGAAGAGATTGACGAGCCTGTTCTAGAAAAGGATATAAAAGTTGAGAAGGTTGATACCAAGAATCAACTGGCAGACTTCTTGACAAAGCCATTATTTAAGCCTAGGCTTCTAGAACTATGTAAGCGAGCTGGAGCCTCCACTTAACCAACAGTTGCTAGAAGAGGAGACGGAATGTTAAGAAGGTTATATACATCAGTTACAAATTGTCTATCTTTAATATGATGATGTTACCTAGCAACTGTTGTTAATTTGTAGTCAACAATAAATTTGTCAATAACAGAAACTTGCTTTCCATATTATATTTTATTTTATTATATTAAAGCTAATTACTCATTAGACGTAACTGGAAACAAAATACTAAAAGGAAAACTACTAAAGCATCTTTTATGTTTTTCTCGATTTTTTTACCTACCCGTTTTCGAGTTCCCAATTTTTGTGTCAGTAAAGTTTTTTTAAGTTTAGACTTAATAACATAACAGCCCCTCAAATTTTTGTAAATATTTCATACCTATTTGGCGATTTAAAAAACTTGCGGTAACAAGTGATGATGACTGTATCGAAAACTGTAATATTCGAATCAATTTTCTAATCGTCAAATATAATGGTAGATGATTGTGGGGAAGTCGCAATGTCAAATCATTGTGCAGGCAATCCTAAAGAGGTCGTAAAACGTCGCTAACGTCACATTTGTTATGACAGGAATTTAGTTGTACCAAAATAAAGCTGTGTTTGTGGTGTCAGTGCGTGAAAGTAGATAATATTAAAATGTATACTCGTATTAAGATCTCTTGGACGCTTGTCGTGTTATTTTAACATTTATAAATAAATACGTATTTTCGCTACACCCTTAATGTGTTCATTTACAATATTTGCAATATATGTGAAAAGAGACTATTATTATGACAGGAGAAAGTTTAACTTAAATCGTGAAAAATAACTAGGACGTATGGAAAAATATATCGTGTGTACCTAGATTTTTTTTTAATAATCCAGATATTCCTTAATTTAAAAAGTAGTATTTTCTTTTTAAAATGAAGATAAAAATAGACAAAAGACTTTTGCCAATCAAGGCTCATTTTTTCTTTTTTTTCGCAGGTAAGTTTTTTTTCTCATCCTTTTTTTTTATTTTTTATTCATCACTGTTTATTTTATTATTATTTTTTGTATACTTTTAATTTTTTTATTTTATTATAAAATTAATCAACAAATTGTAACACAATAAATAATATTTATATTTTTTAATTATCTTCATCTATGCATTGTAACCAAAGTTTCGGGCGCCAATTCGAAATGGTTTGTAGTCTATTGACCTTTCAATAATCATTGGCTCAATTTCTTGTTGTCTGATAACAGAATACTGATATGTATTTAGACATAAGTTTATCAATTTATAAATACATTACAGAGACTGACTCTCTTTACATCATCATTTAAATTTTTTATATCTTTGATGTGTGGATATATTTTTTAATACTGATACTATTTACCATAGGCAAGTGTAGGCAACAAGTTAATAAAAATAAAATATCTATATTTCAGACATGTACAGTCCATAGGTTGTATATTGGGTTACTAACAAAATTTATGTTTGCATAATATAGGCAATGTTAGCATTTAAACAGAACAAATTCTTTCCTTAATTTTGGTTTATGACATAATGTGTGCATATCCTACCGATTTAAAAACTTTTGTGTGAAGCGGTACACCACGCGAACCTATTGTAAATCAACTACCCGCCTTTTTTAATATCCTATTTTTCTAAACAATGTACTATATTAGCATTGTTATTAAGATGAATGACTCTTTCATTCTTTGGCACCAGTGTGCTGGTTTGACCAGCATGATACCACTGTCTCACTGAAATCCGGTGTTGAGTTATTCTTTCATTGCCGTTCACCAAACAACTAACATAACCAGAGCCCGACTCTCTTCCTTCTGATTCTAAGGGTAAAACTCAAAGGATGGCAACACATTTGTGACTATTGAGTTCCAGGTATCCATAGGCAGTGGTAAGCACTTCCATCAGGTGGCCTGTCCCAATCAGCCAGATTTGAAAAAATGCTTGGAAACCAGTTTCCAAAACAGAATTATTTCCCTTCTATCTAAACCTGGTTTCCAATAAAGAAAAATAATTCTGTTTCCGAAACTAGTTACCAACACAGAAGTTCGGATCTTCTTTCAAAACTCTTCCAACCTACAATCCTTGATTAGAAATAATTTACTGGTGACTTACAAGTTTCTTATGTACAATGACTAGAAGTCATCCCATTATCAGTAATGATAGATAATTAATTGTTGATTATTAAATCCTAAATCAATTGCTTTTTTAAATATTTTGTGTGAGTAGTGGTTATTTGCTGAATTTATTTATTTTTTGTACAGACAATTCATTAGGCATTAGGCATAGGAATAAATCATGAAACATGAAATGGACACAAAGAATACCCAGACTTAGAATAAAAATTTGTGGATTATACAAAATGTCGTCCCATGTGGGGATCGGACCCACAACACTCAGCGTAGTAGTAAGCGGCGTGGCGACAGCTTAAACCACTACGCCATCAGTGCAGTCAATTGTGTTAAAATAAGTTAAATATATACTTAATCAAGGAGTTTGTAGATATATTGGAGAGTTTTAAAAGAAGATCCAACATTCTGTGTTGGGAACTAGTTTCTAAAACAGAATTATTTTTCTTTATTGGAAACCAGGTTTCGATATAAGAGAAATAATTCTGTTTTGGAAACTGGTTTCCAACCATAGGTTACCAATATGGCCGAATGGAACCTGTCTGATTGTTTGCCATCCTATACCATTACTCTGCCTTAGTGGTGTAGCGTACGCGATTGCAGTCCATGAGACCTCGTATTCGATTCCCTGAACAGGCAAAATTTAATAGGGTTTCTCTAAAAGGAAAAATAGAAAGCTATTATTTTGAAATTACAAACAGACACTTTAATTTTATTTATTTGTACAGACTATACTTACTTATTTATACCCAATAGTCTTCTTTTATACATATAAAAAGACCAACTAATTCATCAAGACATCAGCCTAAACCGCTGGGGCTACAAACCAGTAATTTTGACAGCTTATGTTTTTTATGTTGAAAACACCCACAGAAAAGATTTCATCAAATTTTACCCCTTTTTTTCCTGTGCATAACTCCCCTCGGATACCACACACCAGTGGGGTGATTATGTCGGACTCGAACCGACCAAAAACCGCACGATGTCTCCTGGTTCCAGTAGCCTTGGCACCAGGTATACCTAGTAAGTACCCCAAAGTATCTCGGGCCATCTACGGCTTATAGGCCTGTGTGGGAACCCCGATGTTACATTTCTGCCCCCGAACGCCGCCACCCACCCCGGCCTCCTTATGCAGGAAATTTTTACCTATAGTGGGGTTAAATAAGGAATGACCGGTTGTATCAAAGTTCGTCATTTTCTAAATTAGGAATTTGAAATATTCACACGAGTAACGCTGCTGGAAATATATAGTACAATAATAAATTTAACACACATTTGGTTTGTTATATTTTCGTTTCATTATTTACACACTGGTCATCGACCTCTTTTTGGTACATTACTTTTGCATGTAAAATTAATTCTTTTGCTGTGCTAATATAAATATTTTGTCGAACCGTTTTGAACGGATTAAAGAATGCTTTGTTACTTTAAAGTGGGTAATTTAAATTACATGATAATCCATACTTTTTTTTCAAGTTTAAAATGAAGTCCCGTTTTCTTCTTGTACGCTTAGATCTTTTAAACTACGCAGTAGATTTTAATACCGTTTTCACCAAGAGAGAGAGTGATTCGAGAGGCGTATTTATATGTATAAAATATGCATATTATAGAAGAGGAAATACGAGAATTTCAAAGATTTGTAATGTGAAAAAAAATGATTTTGTGCGCTTACATCAAAAGAATGTACTACATAATTGTATATCTTAAAAATATCTATAAAAAGTCCCCGGTAGTATATGTCTATCTCCTAAGGATATACCATAGTAACCATTTTTATCTTTTCCATATTACATTACATCAACATTATAACATTATATCAACGTGATCCACAATTACAGCTTTTTACTAATATTAATAGTATCGTGACACACCGCCGTCTGATCCCAAACTAGGTTAAACCTCATCATCATCAACAGCCTTTAATAGTCCACTGCTTTACATAGGCCTCCCCTTAGAAAGGAGGTTTTGGCCTACTATACCTTTCATCCCGTGGGTGTTGTAAGAGAAGGAAAACTTGAAACAAACCCTATACCAACCCGTCTGGCCAGCGTGGTATAGTAGGTTAAACCTGTGCTTTGTTAATTAGACTGCTGATAAACTACTAAAATATTTATAAAAACATACATATTATAGATAAATTACGCCCAGACACAACAAATGATCGAGCTCATCTCACAATTATTTGTCTCAGCTAAAAATTGAACCTACGACCTCCGGCTAAGCAGTCAGGGTCACTAACCGCTAGACGAACAGGCCCTGGGCGTTAATTCAAGTACTATATTTTAACATTCTTTGGCCATTGTTTGCTGTATACAAAGGAGTCTGTCATTTACGAAGAAAATATAATTTTTTATCAACGTTGTATTCTTAGTTGAGGCAATAAACTTATCGTTTAAGTACGGTAAAGATAACATTAAATACCTACTAAATGATAATATATAAATTTCTAATCAAATGTTGCAATGTTTGTAGCTAGGTGAAGAAATAACCAAGTTTTACTTATTACTTTGTTGGCTTTTATATCGATTTGGACATTTACTCTGGGCCCCTCGATAGATAGAGGCCCCCTAATTCCTACCTACCTAATTCGATAATCGATATTTATTACCGAAAACCATATTTAAAGAAAATAAATAAATATGCTTCTAACCGTGTGGTGTCGGATTAGGTTTTTCTTTTATTATAATATTTCTATAAATATTTTAAAAAGGAAGAGTTGGTTTCTTTGATTGAATGAATTAATCTTAGTAACTACTGGTACGAATTGAAAAATTCTTGTAGTGTTGGATAGTTAATTTATCGAGGAAGGAAGGGTATATAACATTACGACCAATAGGAATAGCAAAAAACTGAGAAAAAATTATTCCTTTTGAGAGACGTTAACGTCAGCTATCCATACTTTTTATGTGAAAGTGAGTTTGTTTGTTATACTTTCACGCCTAAACCACTAAACCGATTTTTAATATCCTTTACCAATGCAAAGCTACATTATCAGCGAGTAGCATAGACTACTTTTTATCGTTCGTACCCCTCTTTCCCACTGGGCACTCTGGGCACGTGTCCAGTGCCCCCTAATTCCTACCTACCTAATTCGATAATCGATATTTATTACCGAAAACCATATTTATTCAGAAAAATCCAGCGAAAATGGCTGATTATAATACCTTGTTTGGCTATTCTATCACAGACACAAATCAGTCAAGGTCGTAGAGGGCCCATTATCCCAATATATCCAGGCCCTCCGATAGGCTAAAGAAGGCCCTGCACGCGAGCGGATATAATGAATTTAAAAGTGAGTTCGTTTGTTACGCTTTCACGCTTAAACCACTAAACCGATTTCAAAAATTCTTGCACCAGTAGAAAGCTAAGTTATCAGCGAGTAACATAGGCTACTTTTACCGCTATCATCATCATCAACAGCCTTTAACAGTCCACTGCTGGACATAGGCCTCTCCTTAGAAAGTAGGTTTTGGCCTACTATACCACGCTGGCCAGACGGGTTGGTATAGGGTTTATTTCAAGGTGTCCTTCTCTTTTTTGGAGGCGTGAATTGCAGGTACTAGATCAAAAGACAGTTGTTTACCGCTATAACCGACAAAAGCTAATATATATCATAAAACAGTCTAACAATATTTGCGTCGTTGATCAAATAGTGTAGTGACGTAACAAACAGGTGTCCTGAGTCATTGGACCCCTGTCACAGCATTGTCAAGGACCTATCACACCGAGTGTCGGTCTCACGTGTCGTAAATTACATAATGCCTGGTGAGGCACTCAATTAGTGGGGCTGATTTATTTGCGCGGTGTGACCGCTGTCTCCCTCCGAATTCGAGGTGAAAAGGTGCCTC